CCTGCACTGTCAATTTTTGATGTGGCTGAGTGGCAGTTTCCAGGAGAGATCCGAGCTGAATGCAGTGAGCCAGAGGTATGTATGGTTCTCTAAAGCCAGGGACAGATGAAAACAGCTCATTTGAAATCTCCCAAGCAAAGGGCTGCTGAGAGGCTGGGGTGCAGGGGGGCTGCTTCCCTGAGCTCTGAACAACTAAGATAGTATCCTATAGGCTCAGCCAACCTGTCTAAAAGTGTCAATAGCAAGGATACAGAAACTCTCTCCACCACCCTAAGAAATGGGAATTTGTTGTAACAGTATATATTGCTCTAAAGAAAGCAGGGTCCTGGAGAAAGCCAGGAAGAACTGTTCTTAAAGAGATCCAACCTGGAAGTGCATTTGGGATTACACCCACTTGAGACTGCTTGAGAAACTCAGGAGAATGAGTTTGTGATCTGACTCTACTGCTTTTCAATTAATGTAGCTCAGGGTCCTTCTCTATAGATACTTCAACCCACTCATTTTCTACTCAGTGTAGCTTTCCCTTGCCTTTGGCTTCTGCCTCCACATAGCTGCTGATCTCTTCTAAAATTGGACTGACACCTGAAGCATAATCTTTCTTTCCTCTAGCCTGATACATTCAGTCTCTCCCTCCCTCTCTCCCCCTACCCTCTCTCTCTCTCTCTGATCATCCTGTCAGCTTCACCTTCCGTTATGAAACTTTAGATTTTTCTGCCTATATTTCTCAGTTCAAATTCCACATAGTCTTCCCTTCTACATGGTTTGGCTTTCTGAAGTTTCAGAGTTATCTGGTCAACTGCAATCCAAAAGTATTGAATGATTCCAGAAATAATTCATAAACTTTAAGTTGTGTTTCATTCTAAGCAGCACAATGAAATAATTTTTAAACAATTTTTAATATGTTTAGTTTTTAATGTTTTATGAAATATTACTATGTCAAACAGCAAATGAATACTTGCAGTGATTTTTTTCCTGTGAATTTGAATTTTTTTCTTCTTTTAATTTTTTTTTGTTGTTGTTGTTGTTAATTGTCATACTAGAAATTGAACCCAGGGCTTCATGAGTTTGAGACAGGTGCTCTACCACTGAGCTAAACCCACAATGCCTTGAAATTCTTTTTAAAAGAGAAAAGGTTTGGATTATATAAACATAGCACAATGAAATCTTTTACCATCCTGTTCTGTTTCACACAGGATGTGAATCATCCTTTTGTCCACTGTATCCACTTTTTATATGCTACCCACCTGATTTAGTTATCAGATCAACTGTCATGGTATCATAATACTTGTATTAAAGTAACCCACATTTTACTTAAAAATGACCTTTAAGTGCAGGAGTAGTAATGCTGATAATTCAGATATGCCAAAGAGAAGCCATAAAGGGCTTCTTTTAAAGTAAAAGGTGAAAGTCCTTACTTAATAAGGAAAGGAAAAACTTATATGCTGAGGCTGCTAAGATCTATGGAAAGAACAAATCTTCTGTCCATGAAACTATGAAAAAAGAAAAAGAAATTCATTTTAGTTTTGCTATTGTTAGAAATACAAGGGTGTGTCAGGTGCCATGGTGCATGCCTGTAATCCCAGAAGCTTGGAAGGCTGAGGCAGGAGGATCATGAGTTCAAACCCAGCCTCAGCAACTTAGAGAGGCCCTAAGCAACTTAATAAGACCCTGTCTCAGAATAAAAATTAAAGTTGGATGGGGATATGGTTCAGTGATTAAGTGCCCCTGGGTTCAATCCCTGGTACACCGCCCCCCCAATTGTCCCATGCCCAACAAGGAATCAAACATGTGCACTGAAGTAGCTTGGCAAGGCAAACTTTACTTTTGCAAAAGGGCGTGCTACTGATTATGGTAAGCAAGCACACATGAGTGAACAGTCCACCTGATTATATCCCTAATGCAGCACTGCCCCTTGCTCTGATATGAGGAGCTCAGGGTTATAATCTACATGATTGGCTCATTTTAAATTGGGGAAAGGCTACAGTTAAAGGGAAGAGCTATAGTTAAAATGGCTACATTGGATCTTACATCCTAACTAAGGCTAAATACTATATTGTGAAAATGGAACACCAAACTTTCTATTTCTTACAAGGTGACACCTCAAACTGAGAAAGCTACAGTCATAGTATGTGATAATTATTACATTCTGATAGAAAAGGCATTAAATTTGTGTGTACATATGTATAGGAAAACAACATAGTATGTATAGGGTTTGGTCCTATCCTTTGTCTCAGGCATCCTCTGAGGGAATTAGAACTTATCTCCCACGAATAAGGTGAACCACAACAAGCAGAAAGAGAGGAAAATAATCTGGTTAGTTAAGGGGACATGGTTTCCATTCAGGGCATCTCGAGAGTTCTGGCAAGCATGGATAACAAGGCTGCTCCTTCCACAGTGGTATGAGTAGAACAGTTCCCAGGGGAGGGCACCAGGCACTACATCTTCAGGAAGCAAGACTGTGCCTTCCCTGTGTATTACTGCTTGGTACCAGTTATCCAGAGCAGTGCCAACATGAAAACAGAGTGCGAGAATGTTTTATTGTACCATTACTTCACTTTATATTTTCTCTTAAATTCCTCTCTGCATTTTCTCTACCCTACATTTTAAGCTTTCATCATAGCCCAAGCAGGGGACATGTTTTGCCTCTCCTGGTTGCTTTCTGTACCCTCCTAAACCATCTATTCATGTTCTCATCTATGTACTCAATGTCCATTGAATGCCTGCCCTGTAACAATACTGGACAATAAACTACTGGAAGTCTTTATACAGGATGGCACAGGGCACTCAATGTGAAGCACAAATTCAATTTCATGGGTTGAATTGGGTCTTGGGAGTTCTCCCAGGACCTTGTTGCTGCCTGCATGCTGTTGGCAGCGGGAATAAAATTTTATCCACTCCCACTCATGTTCCATTGGCAAGAGCTAGTCACTGGGGTTCTCTTAACTTCAAAACAGGCCAGGAGAGGTAGTCTGATTGTCTTCCAAGAGGAAGAGATTTTGGGTGGTAGCAGAACCCCAGAGAAGTTTCCACAGAGTGAGCAGATAGACAGCTGTCCGGGCATCCCTTACCTCAGCGCATCCAAAGAGGCTAATAGTAGCTATTAGGGAGGTCTGTGTGCAGACAACTCAGGACCTAGGAAAGCCTCACTTCTTTGGGATCTCATTCAGACTCATTGAATACCATCAGCTTCATATCTTTCAATCTAAGCTGATGATCCCAATTTTACAGTTTATGCTTCAAACGTGTCCCCATTTTTTAGACTTCCATATCCAGTTGCCTAAGTGGCATTTGGTTATCTTCTAGGATCTCAAACTGATCATGTTCTTATTCACATCCTCTTTACCCAGCCTAACCTCTCTCAGTGAAGAGTATCACTCAGTTGCTCAGACCAAAAACCTCTCCCTTTTTTTCATGTCCACATCCAATCCATAATCAGTCCATTTTCAAAATATATCCTGACCACCTCTTTCTAGTTACAACCACCACCGTGTCTGTCCTCAACAGCCACATGTTATTGTTTTGCCCCAAACACCTTCCAACCTTGCCACACGAGTTGTAACTTCCACAGCAGCCAGAGTGATTTTCTTAAAATGTAAATTACATCGATCTTTCTAGGTTTCCTATGACACTCTAACCTGTTTAGAATAAAATTCAAGGTCAAGACTATGTATAATCTGACCTTTGTCTTCAAAACTCATCATTTTTCCTTTCCTTTCTTATAGTCTCAGAGTCTTTGCACTTTCCTGTGTCACCCATGTCATGGAGAGCTCTGTGACATAGCACTGGTCAAGGAGACTCTCCAACTCTCCTACATAAACCAACACCTCCTCACTGCCCCTCCTTCCTTTAACCCAGCTTTATTCTTCATCCTAGCTCTGATCACTGTCTGAATTTGAGTCTCTTCCCACTGCTCTCCAGGAGTATTTGCTGCAAGAGTTCAGTATTTGGTTGATTTTTTTTTCAAGGACACAATCTGTTTCAAGGAGAATATCTGCATTATGAAAAAGAAAATGGATTCCTAACAAAAATTAGAATTAGAACAATCATATTATCCAGCAATCCCACTACTAGGTATATATTTGAAAGAAGGGAAATCAGTCTGTTGAAGAAACATCTGCACTTCCATGCTTATTGGAGCACTATTCACATTAACCAAGATAGGGAACCAACCTAGGTGTCCATCCGTGGGTGAAGGGATAAAGAAAATGTATTGTATGCGCAATGGAATGTTATTCATCCATAAAAAGAACAAAATTCTGTCATTTGTAACAATATGTATAGAATGGGGGTATTACATTAAGTGAAATAGTCAGGCACAGTAGGAGAAATGCCACATATTCTCACTTACGTGTGGAAGATAAAAAGTTGATCTTAAAAAAGTAGAGAATATAATAGTGGTTACTAGAAGCTGGGAAGGATGTGAGGGAGGGAGGGATGGAGAAAGGAGAGTCAATGGTTATAGGGAGAAATTATGCCAACTATTGTAAAGCACAGTAGGAAAACTATGGTTGACAACTATTAATGAAATATTTCAAAATAGCTAATAGAGAGGACTGTGAACACTCCCAACACTAAGAAAGATTCGTATCTGAGGTGATATATATGCTAATTACCCTACCAGATACATTGTATGTATTGAAATGCCACATTATATAAATATAATAAATTTATATTTTAAAAGAAATTAAATATATATATATATATATATAAATATATATATATATATATATATATAATTAAAAGTGATATTTGACACAAAACCAATACTCAGTAAATATTTATTGAATGAATGGATGAATAACAAGCTAATAGTGGATTTTTAAAATGGAGGCAATATCCAGGGCACTGGAAATGGAAAAACAAGCTAAATAAACTTTTAAATAAGAACAGTATATGGGAAATGTCTTTTATCCAATGAAAAAAATAAGAAAATAGTGTTTTGTTTTCCCTAACCCTAACTTCTAGTCTGCCTATAAAATTGTTTATTTTTTATTTTTCAGACTTTATTGTAATTCTCTGCAGAGGATTTAACATGGAATACAGAAACCTGAGGTATTTTCATTTAGCTTGTTTTTCTTTTTTACCCTCCTTACCTGTAACTTAAATGCTTATGTTTTATTTCACATCTTTGCTGTTTTCATTAAATTAAAATCATTGTAGAAGCAATCCTATTTCAGTTGTTCTTTTGACATTTTATCGATCAACATTTCACTAAAGGTATCAACTTTCTCTAGGATGCAGAGAGACTAATAGAACTTACACAAAAATTTCTCCTGAATGAATTTCCCCACCTTCTTGGTGATTGTACACCTGCCTTCCTTATAAGGAGAACAAGGAAGTAAATCATGTTGAAGTTGCTTTTAAACACAGCTTTTCTTCTTTACCTGTCCAGGTAGCCTCTGTTTTCATTTCAGTCGTAATGAAAGCTTTTTAATTTACATCTCAAGTTTCATTTCAAAGCAGTGTAAGTAGTATTTAATATTTTACACTTCAAGAAAGAAAGCCTTTAACGATCTTCAGCTTTGGTCTTGTAACCTTGAAGGTAATTCATTTTTTTAATCTGCACAGCGAGAACTGAAACGAATGGGGATTGAGCTGCTCTGCCTGTTCTTTCTATTTCTAGGAAGGAATGATCGTGCACAAGGTAAGACCTAAGTTCTCGGATATGTTGCTTTCACGATATGCTTGACAAACCTGTCATTTGGTTCAGAAACTAGAGCCGAAGTCATTTTTTATTTGACCTGTTTGATGGCTCTTTTGCCACCGAGTGAATACTTTAACAAATTACAGGCAAACACAGGGCTGGTCCCACCGTGAATGTTCTAGTCTCAAGGTAAATAAATACAAAGGTTACACAGGCATTTTAATGAGGAGAATTAAACAACATTACTGCACAGTAGGACTTCTTAATGCCTTTATGACAGTCGTTTTGGAAATTTCTGTTTTATTATACAATAAGTTCTTCCTCTTGAGAGTAATAATCTTGGGAGAGAAAAAAGGATTTTATTTCACAAACAGAAATACCACATTTATAAGAGAAGCATTTTAAATGGTTACAAATAATTTTAAAATTAAAATGACAGATATTTAATAAGAATAAAAAACAGGATGATTCTGTATTTGTCAACAGTTAGCTATTTTTAAAAAAAGAAGAGGATGATAATTTTTGGCTTATAAGGCACATGTATTTTCAACGTGATAGATGTGAAGTGTAAATTTTTATGTGAGTTGCTAGCATTTTCAGAATTGATTTTTGAAGACAAAAATACATTTTGATATTGTTTTGTTCAAGTAATTTAAGAGGCATAAGTCTCGTAAATGGAATGAATGAAAGTGTACTTAATTCCTTGCATCTTGCTAAATTTAAATGTAGGTGGCTGTGCCTTGGGAGGTGCAGAAACCTGTGGAGACTGCTTACTCATTGGACCTCAGTGTGCCTGGTGTTCCCAGGAGGTAAAACAAATGACCTCAACATGTTTTTAAAAGCTCTGTGCAGTTACACTTATGTTGATTTCCTCAATGATAGCTCAGATAATGTCCTTCTTTCTGTGGGGTTATATGAGTGAAACAAATCAAGAAAGGATAATAAAAGTATTAGTGGATCAAAGTGGCATTCACATGATTGCTTTCAAACACAATTCATGGAAGGAATGCATGTCAAATTATTCTAAATAAAATAGTTAACTCAGAGTCCTTTATTTAACCTGGTTCCTTTTCTTATTTTAAGGTAATTTCTCATGGGTTAAATGTAAAATGTCAAGCCTTTCTGGACAATCAGTAATCATGGAGATGTTTTCTGAAGTTAAACACACATTTGATATCAGTACTATAGCTGTATTCCATCCGGGAACCAGGATCCAATGTGAGCCACTGCTAGTTTCTACAAGGAGCATTCTAGTTTCGGAAAAACATTGCTACTAAGGCCTTATTCAGTTCTTTTAAAACTTATATTTTCATGAGCTCAGTCACTCTGTATCATACCAATGACAAAGCCCCAAACAGACATTCCTTATCTAAAACTGAAAACTATGTAGTATGAAGATGCCTGGGGGCATATAGCAAGCCATTCTAAGTCACTGCCGGTGCTGTGACACCATAGAGTGATCTGCAGAGGTGTCTTGATAAGAAAGAGATGCACTAACTCTGAATTTTAAAACAAGTCTTTCCCCACTGGATCTCATGAAGATAATCTAAACATCTATTCTTCCCATGCTCTAGATAGGGCAGAGGCATGGGAGGGTAAGGGAGGGGGCAGGGGGTTAGCAATGATGGTGGAATGTGATGGACATTATTATCCAAATACATGTATGAAGACATGAATTGGTGGGAACACACTTTATGTACAAACAGAGATATGAAAAATTGTGCTGTATATGTGTAAAAAGAATTGTAATGCATTCCTGTATAATATATTTAAAAAATAAAAATAAATTAATAATAATAATAATAAAAAGAGCACAAACCTGGCACACTGCCCTAGTACTCCCTTGACTGATAGGGGCCACAAAAACAGCATTCAGGGGAATTGTTCTCTCTTGAACCAACGTATCAAATTCAGGATTGAGAATGTAAATGTGGGGGGTAGGCATAATTTTTTGGACATTGGCTTTCTAAAGAAAACAGCATTAATTTCATTCCAGAGACTGAAAATGGCAAATCATTCTAGAATTTTTGTTTAAATGCACTTTTTAGCATTTGAGAGAGTTTCTCATAGCCTTACTTGTGGATGACCCTTGGTAGCTAAATGATTGTCAAATTTTATGGCAAGATTAAGAGGTCACTCCAGTAGTAAAAGTAGTTATTAGTTTATCAATTGAGGTAATTGGAACAAAACGTAAAATAGATTTCTGAATGGGAAGAACAGAAAATATGCTGTGTGGTTAACACCACCCCTGACCTTCTGGCAAAGGCTGTGACTACAGCTGATAGCAACTGCATTGTATTGTGAAGGCGCCTCCATCAGCCACTGTTTGCCTTCCTTACAATATGAGATGTTAGAGAGTTTGCCAGAGCCTCAAATACACAAAGGCCTGACTGGTAGATAACAAATTATATTCTCAAAATTTAATTTCAGAAGAAAGGTAACTTTTCTACTTGGTGAAAACATCAAGAGTGGCTTTGAATTCTAAGGGGCCAGGAAAAATATGGGCATTGGTTTGCATGAGAGTCAATGGGTTCAACTTTTCCTAGTGCCTGCTGTAGAGTAGCCTTGCCATCAGGTAAGACAGGTATATCTGGGCTCCATTTTTTCTGCTCTTGATGCTGCAAAAATGGAATGGCCACATATCTGCTGGGAAATACTATACCTCAGTGCTCATGTGAACCTAATGGGGCCTAGGAAACTCCAGAGTCCTGTACAGAAAAGCAGACTTTAAACCATCTTCTAATTCCCTTCCTTACTTCCAAATCTTGGAGGAAAGACCTTGAACTAGAACACTTTAAGATACTGAGTTTAAGGTCCCTGAGAGATCAGTTTTAGTGAAATAATGCTAATCAGGGCAACACACCAATGATTAAAACTAGTAAAGTATCAGACAGTGCGATGTCATAATCCTTGTCCTTTAGAAATACATAGAAAAATCTCTCTTTGCTACCGGATTTGGTAATAGATGCACTGTAAAGCTTAGACAGGCCTAGGATTCCAAGAACCAACAAGTCATTCCAAAAAAACAATAGACTGAAAAATATCAACTCGATGAACTCAACTATTTCAAGAATCTGGTCATGGCAAAGGAGAATCTTTAAATAAATGAGCTTTAAAAAAACTGCTAATGAATTCAAATGAACATAATTAAAAGGAGACTCCAGCTTTACTCATAACTTTGCTGGCAGAACACTCTGGCTATTCAACTATAACTTAGCTTTAGACCTACAATCAATGTCAGTCATACAGGAATATGATGTATTTAGGATGGCAAGATGCTTAACTAGGAAAGTATGTAAAAAATTTTAATTACTGCCATCTTATAAAGAAATGCAGATTTGTCTTCTTTTTCTCTACTTTTTTCTTTTTCAGAATTTTACCCATCCATCTGGAGTTGGTGAAAGATGTGATACCCCAGCAAATCTTTTAGCCAAAGGATGTCAATTAACCTTCATCGAAAACCCTGTCTCCCAAATAGAAATCCTTAAAAATAAGCCTCTCAGTGTAGGCAGACAGAAAAATAGTTCTGACATTGTTCAGATTGCACCTCAAAACTTGATTCTTAAATTGAGACCAGGTAAGTTATGATTTTTTAACAGAAGGGGAAGGGTCTTTCAGAAGAAAGAAAAACACAGAAGTGTTTATTCATGTAAATAAACATAATGCTATGTGTGTAATATTGCTATTGCTTTAATATGGATGCTACATGTCACAGATCATTGATTATTATGCCTCCAATTGCCCATTTTTAAGGAAATATGAAGTTTCGGGGCTCACATTTTTCTTTGTTCACATTGGCCACTTCTACTCCAAATGTGTTACTGAAGAAGTCTTTTCTAATAGTAACCATTTGAATTACTCAAATGTTGCTTAGATTTGCCTCACATTTCTTCAGGAGTTGAAATGTAGATTGAAACTCTCCTTTATTTTGTTCACCTGTTCTAAAACCACACACAAAAAAGTTCAGCTTATCTTTCATCTAAATGGATGCTAATTCTTCCCAGGAGATATAAAATATCCTAACTTATATTTCTTCAGTACTCATAAACTCAATGCTGAAAGATGTTTGTGGGCTTATTCATTTATAAACTCTACCACTTAGTACATCACATGGTATGTATCTTCAGTAAGTTCTTAATGGAAAGAAATAGCTAGCTGGCGGGGAGATTAGCCAGTTGCAAATAAACCTTCCTGTGTTTTATGAATTTGCTTTCCCTGTGGGGCTCTGCAGGTGGTGAACAGACACTGCAAGTGCATGTCCGCCAGACCGAGGATTACCCTGTGGACCTGTATTACCTCATGGATCTCTCCGCCTCCATGGACGATGACCTCAACACAATCAAAGAGCTGGGCTCCCTGCTTTCCAAGGAGATGTCTAAATTAACCAGCAACTTTAGATTGGGCTTCGGCTCTTTTGTGGAAAAACCCGTCTCCCCTTTTATGAAAACAACGCCAGAGGAAATTGCCAACCCTTGCAGGTAAGTGATTCTCTGGCATCTCTGTGCACTGATTTCCACAGCGATACCCCGCTGCCCTCCCTGAGCCGCACTTGCCAGGAACTCGCTAACTCCCTGGCATTTCTATCTGGCTGTCTGATCTCACAGTTCTCTCAGATGCCCAAGTTGCTCGCAGCCTCCGAGGATCTTAAATGTACGGTTCTAGCCTTCCAGCCTCTGCAAAGCATCTGCCTCCAGCGATGGAGGGCGTGGCCAGGGGCGTGGCCAGGGAGGTTTGTGTTCTGTGGACAAAGGGGGCTGTACATTCCATTGGATTTTATCCCCCTCCCTGCCCTTGGGAGACCTTCAATCCCCAATGACCACCACTGAAGCTGTCTGACAGTAACCTCTATTCGTTTTGAGTCTTTTTCTACTGCAATGACTTCTGTCAAAATAATAATTTTTGCAGCTTCCTCTGACGTACTTTGGGAAATGTGGGTTTCTCTCATTGTTTGGAGAAGGCCTTTGCAGCCATCACTGCTACTAAATTCACAGGAAATGAGTCAGTGACTCTATTATAATGTGTTATAATCAGCTATTAAAACCATGTCTTATGCAGGATGGCCAAGGACAAATAGCTTTGTGATGGCTTACCTGTGCAGCCAATGACATGTTCAAAATCAAATTATTTAATACCCTTCTATTGAGAAAGAGCCACCATCTGCTCTGGGCCAGACCCTGCACTGAAGGCTTTACATACATGACCTTATTCAATCTCTATAATGACAGCAGGTTAAGGCAGGTTTCATTAGCCCTATATTCAGAGGAAGTAACAGAGGCTCTGCATGGTTAATAATTTGCTCAAGGGCACATGACTAATAAGTATACCAAGATCTGGTTTGATCCAAAACCAAGCCCTTTACTACTATGCATTTCGTATATATGAAATCATTTTTAAAATGTTAATTTTTAATATTCTTATACACCAGAGCAAGCAATCCCTATAAAAGACAAACAGCTTCTTTTGTATTTAAAAACACATCAGTGCACTTCTCAACTATAATCTAACATAGGTGAAAATTATTTAACTGTGAAAGTAATGTACCACTGATTATAACTCTTAGGAATTGTGTTTGGTTAAGAGTATCAGAAACTGTGGCTTTAAAAGGAGAGAGGTTTTTTTTTTTCTCTCTCTTTTACACAAAGTGAAGTCAGGGCTTGGGTGACAATTCCACAAACACCAGAAATCCACAACTTCTGTGTTTTTTTTTTTTTTTTTTTTGCTCCACCATCTTTAGCACTTGGATTTTGTCTTCATGGTCCAAGAGGCTGCTAGGGTATTAAGCATAATTTCTTCACTCCAGGCAGAAAGAAAGGAAGAAAAGTGGGGCAGATTAGTTAAGGGCACTATCTGACCCTCTTAAAGTATAATTGACATGCACTTGAAATACGCACATCAAAAATACTGTTTGAAGACTCTTAATAATTGAATATACCAGTATAATCAACACCCAAAACGTGATATAGGTATATTCATCACCTCAGAAAGTCTCCTCATGCCTCCTTCCAGTCATTTCTACTTCCTCAGAGGTGCTCACTTTGTGATTTCTATAATTTAGATTGGTTTTGCCTATTCTTGGATTTCATACAGCTAAAATAAAATAGTATACACCTTTGTGTCTTGCTTCTTTTGCTCAGTGTAATGTTTTGAGATTTAATAATGATCTTGTGTATACTGGAAATTTGTTCCTTTTTGTTTTAATAGGTAGTCCATTAATGGATTTGCTACATTTTATTTATTCCTTCTTCCATTGATGGACATTTGAGTTGTGTCGTTTCTTGGCTGTCATGAAAAATGCTGCTATGATCATTTGAATATACATCTGTGTATGGATGTCTGTTTTTATTTCTCTTAGATGGATACCTAGACTGGAATTGCTGAATTGTTTAAGTGTACTCTTAATTTTTAAAGAAACTACCAAAGAGCTTTCTGAAGTAGATATACTTCTTTTCATTTCCATAAGCAATGTGAGAGGGCCCCAGATAATCCACATCCATGCTAACACTTAGTGTTAGCACAAATGCTCACTTTTACATCTCACGAAAAGAATTAGTCGTTTTAATTTTAGCCATTTTAATAGGCATGTAGTGGTATCTCACTGTAGCTTTAATTGGAGTTTCCTTTGTAACAAATGATGTTGAATACCTTTTCATTTTGCAGTCTCATTTTGTATTGTGTGAAGCATCTCTTCATATCTTTTGCCCATTTTTAAAAATTAGATTGTCTTCTTAAAATTGTGTTGTAAGCGTTCTTTATATATTCTGGATACAGGTTCTTTGTCAAACATACGCTTTGCAAATATTTTCTACCAGTTGTGGCTTGTGTATTTATTTGTCCAACAATGGTTTTAGTCAAACAAAAGTATTTAATTTTGATGAAGTCCAATTTATCAACTTTTAATTTTGTGATTGGTATATATTTTGTCCCAAGATATTTTTGCCTACTCTAAGGTTGTAAAGACTTCTTTTCTCTTTTCCCTAGATTTATGGTTAAAGTACTTACATTTAGGAAATTTATGATTACAAATGAGTTTTTGCATTGGGAATGAGAATAAAAGTTCTAAGTTCATCTTTTGTTTCCAAACAGATATCCAGTTGATCCAAAATCTGCCTTTCCACATCAAATTATTCTTGTTGTCTTTGTTTAAAAGCAGTTAACTATATATGTGTGCATCTAATTCCAGACATATTCTCTTTCATTGCTCCATTGATTATACCTATGTAACATTAATGCCTCATTCTCTTGCCTTATGATGTCTTTAAAATCGGGATTGTAAGTCCTCCAACTTCATTCTCTTATTTTTGGCTATCCTAGATCCTTTTCATTTCCATATAAATTTTAGAATCAATTCTTCAAAAAATATGCTGAGATTTTGACTGAAAATGTATTAAAACCATAGATCAATTTGAAGAGGTTGGACATCGTAAGCATATTGAATCTACCAGTCACTTCATATGACATACCTTCACTTTGTTAATTTCAGGGTAGAGATTTTTTTTTATTGGTGTTGTTTTATCTATTCCTAGGGTTTTATTTGTTTGTTTTTTGCAATAGTAGAGATTGAGCCCAGGGGAACTCTACCACTGAGCTACATACTCAACCCTTTTTTAAATTTTTACTTTGAGATAGGTTCTTGCTAAACTGTGGAGGTCAGCCTTGAACTTGCAATCCTCCTGCCTCAACCTCCCAAGTAGCTTGGATTTTAGGCATGCACCATGGTACCCAGTTCCCAGGAGTATTTTTTTTTAAGTTCATTTTTCAATGGTGTGCTGGTGATTTATAGGAATGCAATTGATTTTTCACATTAACTTATGTAACCTTAATAAATTTTCCCATTTATTCTAGTCTGATTTTTATAGATTCTTGTGATTTTGCAAGGACAGTCAAGTGAAACTAGTATAGCTTTTATCATTATCATGAGTGCTTGCTGGTAAAAAATATATAAATATATATATATTAGAACTACTAGTAAAGTTGGTGCCACTGTTTGGACACGGGTCGAGGCACCAGCAGTTGACTACTGCTTTCCCATCATCATAGCACAGCAAAAAAGGCAAATGACATATTTACACACTGTGAAAACAGTGTGACCCTAAAAGCCCTCTGGAATGTCTCAGGAACCCCAGAGTCTATGCACCATTCTTCACAAACCCTTTTAGGACTGGCGATGTAGCTCAATGGTAGAGCACTTGTCAAGCATGTGTGAAGCCTGGGGTTCACTGTAAAGAAAGAAAAAATGCTACTCTTTTTTTTTTTTTTTGGTACTAGGGATTGAACTCACAGACACTCGACCTTTGAACCACATCCCCAACCCTATTTTGTATTTTATTTAGAGATAGGATCTCACTGAGTTGCTTAGCACTTCACTTTTGCTGAGGCTGGCTTTGAACTCGGGATTCTCCTGCCTCAGCCTCCCCAGCCGCTGGGATTACAGGTGTGCACCATCACACTCAACAAAATGCTACCTTTTAAATCTAATTTCTAATGGCTTTTGGAGTATTTTTTATTTTTATTGGGAGGAGAGTCACTAAAAATTAATTTTACCATAAGAAGGCTGAAGCACTAAAAATTCATTTTACCCTGTAAGAAGGCTAAAGCAGCTTACAGTTTTGAAAGAGTTCTCTTTGCTGTTGTCTAAGATACAGAATAAAAGAAAAGTTTTCTTCATTTCATACTTATAAATGAGTCATAATATGTATTTTTAAATACTTAACAGCATAAAAATTAAACTTTTCCCTCCATCAAGCATTTTGAAGAATTTCTTCTTAACATCAATCCGCATACACTATGTTATGATTTTTTTTTATCTCAAATTTGGTGAAGAATTCATTGTAGTTTTATGAAATAGGAGACAAAGCCATGGAAATAATGGATTAAATGGATTTCCTATACATATACATACACAAAAGCATATTTGAGTATAGAATGTACAGTTTCTTATTGCAAAGTTAATAAGTTCATGTGCACAAAAAGAAGAAAATCAAAATAAGTCCTAACCCTAAGAAAATGATGATGTTAATCTTTTAGTATATAACATTATAGTTTTTTTAAAAAATATTTTCTCATTTAATTTTTAAATTTGTTTTAATTAGTTATACATGACAGTAGAATGCACTTATGCACTTTGATATATTTTATCAATATTTATTTTAAATTTAACAAAATATATAAGTAGTACTTCTTTATATTGTGTTTCTCAATTATCCTACATTTTAAATGTAAATTCGTTGTTGTCTAGGAACTCAAAATCCTCCATTGGTAAGAGGTTCCTACTCCCTACACTTGCTATACTCAGAAAGCAATATCCAAACGTGAGCATTCATTAGAGCTATTCCAGTCCAATTAAGGGTTCCAGTTCCAATTCCGAGAGCAACCCCTCTCTAATGCTCTGTTTTACTTTTGCCACATGTTCTCCCATCACATGAATCTGCTCAGTGAGTTACATTAAGATTTCATCCACTTTTCAAAAGCATGGACTTCTAATAATTAGAATTATCTGCTCAGGACATAATTTCAACCAACAAAGATCCAAATTTCTCGAAGGAAGGTAGGACTGCCAATTCTTTGGTTCTAGGAGATGCTCCAATATCTCTTGGTACAGGATGAATCAACAGCCCCAAATGAAAGATTAAACAAAAAAATTCCAAGAATAGTTAGGTCCCAGGGACAAATAAGCCTACATGCTTTTTATCTGAAATAAACTTCATAGCAACTTCATGAAGTAAATGTTATCATACCCATTTTATGGATAAGGGCACTGAGGCCCAGCAATGTTAATGAACTTGCTCCAGGATAGAACTGTTCCGTCTTTTTATTCTAATTTTAATGAATTTTCTACCACCTCAGAGCTACTCCAGTCACTACAGGAGTAATTATGACACATGCTGAATTATCATCATTAACCAATTGGAAAAAAATTTAGAGCTCTTTCTCATATCACACTTTAAAATACGTCTCATATCTGAGGGTGGGAAAAAAATTCACTTTAATAAAAAGCTTTAAGGTATGTATCAAAAACATCAAAGACAAAAGTTTAATATTTTTCAGAGAGTTCTTCAAATTAAATGGGAAAATAAAAAATATACCACTAAGAAAATAAGCAAAGAGTATAAACCAGCAAATTGGTATAAGAATAAATACAAAGTGTCAATAAATATAGACAGGTGGGTCAGTCTCATTAGTAATAAAATGAAAGTTAAAAATAAAATTCAGATTTCATTTTAGCTAATCAGCTATTTTGTTTTGTTGAATGGTACAGTCTCACATACAATTATCAAAAATGACAGCTGATACAAACTGATCAGAAAAGAGTTTGCAAATAAGGGCCAAAAAATAACCCAGCAATTCCCCATCAAAAAATTTATTCTAAGCAAAGATACAGACTAGTTTGCAAAAATATATGAAAAGGGATCACCATATTATTTAATTAACAAAAGATTTCAAAATAAATTCTCAGCAAGAGGAATGATTGAACTCTGATATATCTCATAGGCATTGCAACTTTTTAAAATTTCTTCTTCACATTTTCATATAAAACCTCATTTTTTTTCAATGAACAAAAAATGCATCTATTTTTAATCAGGAAAAAAACACTATTCTAGAGATATCATTAGCCAAATCCATTCATTATTGTCCTGAGGTCTGTGCTAATCTCTATGGGATTGATGTAAGAAACAACAGAAAGTACAGTTTCTTATTGCAAATGTTTGTCAAGCCCCAAACCCGAAAAGCTCATTGTGCAGTGTTCTCTGCATATTTTGTTTCTTCAAGCCTCACAACAACCCTGCTAGGTAGATACTATCAGTGGGCAAGACTTCAGAATTTCAGAGAAACCTGATACATGATATTTTTTAAAAAGGGAATAAGATTAACTTCTGGGAGTTAAGGTAAAATGTAATGAATCAGAAAGAAATATAAAAAGTGGCCTGGAAACAGCACTGAACCATCTGTGTTGGTACAGCTGAAATAATGGATTGTCCTGGTGGGTTGGGGGAAGACAGAAAAAAGAAGGGTCACAGAAGACATAGGCATCCAAGAACCTCAGCCAAGTCACTTCCAGAGTTTCCAGCCCCATTGACTAAAAGGACTTATGAAACATTTGTTAGGTGAGGAGGTTGACCACAGATGAGGGAGGGACCAGATGTAGTCAAGAGCATTTCTTCTTGAGATGGCCATCTTAGGACAGCTCAGGCTGTGCCATTCAGTGTTCTGAAACATCGGAAAACAATGGATTCTGACCTCTTTTCTTGAAAGTCTACTGTTAGGAAGAAAATCACTTCCCTCATGGACACCAACTTGCTGGTCCCCGTGAGAGCTTTACTACTCAGTATAAAAGAATCCACAGCCATTCTGATTTGAATGAACATTCGATTCTCATCACTTATGGTAGTCATTCTATAAACTTGCCTCAGGCACTGAGTTATTCTAATACTGAACATTGCTCCAAAGGGAAAAATAGGTTAGAATCCTATGAGCCTCTAGTTATAAGTTTAATCAACTGACCAATATATAACCTTGTTTTGTGTGTGTTTATATTTTAAAACATCTTGCTTAATAGATAGTGTTGATTCATTACTATTGACTGCTCAGACAATAATATTAAAAACTAATACTTGAACGAATTTTATATTTCCTACATGAGGCACATCACAACCTTTTAGCACTCAGGAACACTAGACAATAAGCCCTTTGTTCTCAGACTTGGGGACCATTTTAAACAAAGAAATTATCAATAAAATGAATATATGCACATACACACAAAGCCCTGGCACTAAATAGACCATAAAAAGACACACGTTATTTACACTGTGAGAGATGACTCGAGAAAGCAAAACATCATCTTGTTTGACCTCAGCAGGTAATGTGCACGTTAATGAGACTCACTTTTTTTTTCTTCTCTGTGTATATCTACAAATGATGAAGAAAATTATGTATTGATTTGCTAAAAATAAATTTTAGTAAGTAGGTGAAAATTCACAAATGATGAGGATGTATAGGCAGATGAACTTGGTAACAGGAGTCTGACCCTGAAAGATGCACCTGCTCTCTAAGTGCTAACAAGAAAGCCTGCCGCACCTGCAAGCTCAAGCCCAGGCCCTATGTGTGCTCCACAAGAATCAACCAGGGCTCCCAGGCAGCGCACCACACCCTCAATGGAGGCTACTCCTATCTGTCTCTGTGCTTCTGTGTCAATGGTTGTCAAACTTTAGTGTGTGTCAGAAAGGTTTGGTACAGTACGTGTTGCTGAGCACATTCTTGGCCTTTCTAAGGCAGGAGGTCTGAACTAGTGCTCCAGATTTTGCATTTCTAACATTTTCCATGTGATTCTCATGCTGCTGTACCAGGAACCTCACTTTGAGAACCTCTGCTCAATACCATTATCCTGCTTTTATAGATGAAATCTCAAAGCTCAGAAGGGTTAAGTAACTTGCTCAAGGTTTCAGGCACAGCTAGTAACTGACTTTTAGGATAAGATGTAGCTGAACTCATGATCATCTCTTTATGTTCTACTATTAGGAGCAGATTTCATCCTACCATGATATAATCGGGGGGTTTTATTCCCAGGCTGGTACCCAACAATGTAGACAAGCATGGTAGAGTTGGACTCTAGAACCTAGGCCCTGCTATGTTTTGGTTTTTTTTCAACCTTCAATAATATCTTTTTTAAAAATATTTTATTTGTTCTTTTTAGTTATACATGACAGCAGAATGTATTTTGACATATTACACATACATGGAGTATAACTTCCCATTCTTGTGGTTGTACATGATGTGCAGTTACACTGGTCACATATTTATATGTGAACATAAGAAAGTTATGTCTGATTTATTCTACAGTCTTTACTATTCCCATTCCCCTGCCCTTCCCTTTATTCTCCCTTGTCTAATCCAAAGTACTTCTGTTCTTCACTACCATCCCCCCACTTATTGTGTGTTAGCATCCACATATCAGAAAGAACATTTGGCCTATGGTTTTGGGGGATTGACTTATTTCACTTAGCATGATAGTATCCAGCACCATCCATTTACCAGCAAATATCATAATTTCATTTTTCTTTATGGCCAAGTAATATTCCATCATGTGTGTGTATGTGTGTGTGTGTATATATATGTATATGTATATGTATATATACATATACATATACATATATATACACACCACATTTTCTTTATCCACTCATCTGTTGAAGGGCACCTAGATTGGTTCCATAGTTTAGTTATTGTGAATTGAATTGCTTTAAACATTAATGTGGCCGCGTCACGATAGTATGCTGATTTTAAGTCCTTTGATATATACCGAGGAGTTGGATAACTGGCTCAAATGGTGGTTCCATTCCAAGTTTTCTGAGGAATCTCCATACTGCTTTCCAGAGAGGTTGCACCAATTTGCAGTCCCACCACCTACTACGATTTTTGAGCCCTTGATAGGCAGAGCTGGGAATATTAAAGGGAGCAGAGGAAGAAGACAAGTTTCTGTCTTGTCTCGCTATGAGATGACTCCTACTTGATGACAACTTGAGATATCAGAATACAAAGAAATTGTCATCAGGTAAACTTAATGGTGGATTTTAGTTGGGAGGTAATAGAAAATAGTGATTACACACACTGGAATGGGAAGTTTGATCACTTGATTATCTGTTATATGCGTTTGAGTCAGTGAATGACTCAAACTCATATCTCTAAATAAGTATTAGCTAATATAGTCAACATGGAAGGGATGGGCAGAGATGATGACAATGACCTTAATCCTGAGATTCACAGCCAGATTATAGAGTTAGGCCCGGGAGAAAAACTAATCTTTATTTGAAGAACTATTGCTAGGATCTCAGATCCATTAACTGTGTGTTGCATCATATTTCAAAAATATTTTTGCACCTTACTTTTGCAGTAGTATACCCTACTTCTGCCTACCTACATTTGGATTCAAGCACATTTTGCCACTGACAAATGACGCTGAAAGATTCAATGAAATTGTGAAGAATCAGAAAATTTCTGCTAATATCGACACACCCGAAGGTGGATTTGATGCAATTATGCAAGCAGCTGTGTGTAAGGTATGCTGTGCCAAGGAGATCACATTTCATTCCGTTAACATGAATTTCATCTCTTATTAACAAATCAACTTTGGAAAGCTTGTATATTTTTCTTTCTTTTATTCACCATATTTCTTCAATTGATGCTGAAGACACAGAATTTCCGTAAAATTTTAAATTTAATCATGTTTAAATGGGGACTGTTTTATACACCTAATATTTGAATAATCAAAGAAAATGATAGTAGCTTTGAGGAAATTTTGGTTGGAACAATAGTCTTGTTTTAAAAATCTAGTGTATTTTAAAGACCTAGCTCAGGTGAATTTAGTTTTGGAGTAACTATGGTTAAAAAAAAAAACAATCAAAAGCAGAACATTAATGAAAAAAGTAAAAATGCCCTGAATCAGTATATACCTATACTTAAGATCAGCTATCTATTGTTCTGGAAACGGAATAAGCCTTAGAAGCCATTCTGTCTCTAGGACATGCTAGGATCCTTGCTCCTTTCTAATTGACTGACACGTATTCATGAGAGTGGGTGTCTGTCTTGAGACAACAGCCCTTCTTGGGAAATTCAGAATTGGGCAGGCCTGAAGCTTCTAGAAGGTGGGAGGGCCAAGGAATTAGAGGAAGAGGAAAAGGATAAGCAGGAAAAGGCTGGAACAGGTAGGATGAGTTTTTTGCCTAACTAGTTCCTAGCCTGATACGCTTTAAAGGCGAAAGCTCTGCTAAGATACAGACTCCATGTGGACAACCGCAACAGCAGGACCTTGAGCCCGCCTTCGATGAGCAATTCTTCTATTTGTATTAGTTCTATAATCTTTAGATGACATCATTAGAAAGAGAAATATATACCTAAGTGTTGCATGACATTTTAATGCAACAGGCTTTCTTTGTACCATTTTTTATTGCATTTTTGACTCATTTTGCTTGAGCTTGGATTTGGAATTATCTATGACCTCCCCTACCGCCTCCCCTCATTTTTCTGGCTCATTGAAAGTTGGACAGCAAAAATAATTAAGTATGTAAGCATCAAGATCAACTGAATCCTAATCATCACAGAGCTATTTTTTTTTCCTGAAGCATAAATCATCTGAAAATGTTATCCAGGAAAAAGCAAACGCCACAGAATTTCATGTGTTTCCTATATTATCAATTCACAATAGATGAAAGCAGATAAATTAGATAGACCAACAATATATTTTTTTTAATAATGCAAATGTGTCCGAGCAGAAGTGATCCACATTCAATAGGTGCCTGCCTCTCTCCAACGCAACCCGAATATTTCTTTATCACTCTAGGAAAAGATCGGCTGGCGGAATGACTCCCTCCATCTTCTGGTCTTTGTGAGTGATGCCGATTCACACTTTGGAATGGACAGCAAACTGGCAGGCATCGTCATTCCCAACGACGGGCTCTGTCACCTGGACAACAAGAATGAATACTCCATGTCAACTGTCTTGGTGTGTAACCCACACTCTGTGCTGTTGTCAGGGCCACAAGCAGGCGAAGGAAGCAACAACTGCTGTAACACAACACAAAATAGCTCTCGCTTGAGAAAGCAGTGCACGTTTCCTGATCTGAGATTAGCAAACTGTCCCCTCTCAATCCTCACCATCATTAGAGGTTTCCTGGAGTATGTCTGAGTTGTGGGGACATCTGAGAAGTTTGGATATGCTATAACAGGCGATCCCAGAATCTCTCCAACTTCTCCAAGATCCTGACCTTAGCAAAAAGCAGTGATTTCTTTGTGTTCTCAACTATGGCCCTAGAAAGGGAGGTCTGGACCAAACAGTAGCACCTTGGGATTGCTGTGAACGACTGCCCCTAAATCATGCCATGCTTCTGATGGATATGGGGTTCCCTGGGAAACAACTAGTCGGGTAAGGCTAAGTTAGTGCATATTAACATTTGACCTATATTTTTGGCATTTAAAAAAATGATGGTGCCATTTTTTAAAAATCAACTTTTGTAAAACAAGTCAAAGCTTTTTTGGGATACATGATCTCATCTGCCCTCAACAGAACCCTGTGTATCCAACCACCTTCCCTGAACAGACTATGTGGCTGCTGTTTGTGCACATTATTCCTTCCACTTGGGATGCCCTTCCTCCTCGGCTGCCAGGAAACTCTTAATTGCTCTTTAAAACCAGCTCAATCATTACTGCTCCCAGAGAGTCCTCTTTGACTTCCTTGAGGCCCCGGAGCAATAGTCTCTCCCTTCACCCTTATACATAGATGTCTTCTTACACATCTCTCTGAGGAGATGTGTTTGCTTACATCTGTTTGTCTTTACTGCATAGATCCCCAGGGCCACGGCTGGTTTATTATCTGTTTCCTGGCAGCGTAGTGCCTGGAACATGGTGGGCATTGACTAATGTATGAAATAGAGTTGAATTATGAAGCAGCCACCCAGGTAGGTCACATTATCCCCATGGGACACAGGAGAAAATACAATTCAGAAAAATCAAGCTACTTCCTAAAACAATGATGTCTAAATGAAAGGGATGAAGGGAAGAGAGTGAAAGTCCACCTTTCTAATATCAATTGGAAAATCTATTCTCTGTAAGCTAATAATTCATAAATCACTTGGTACCATTCTTTGACCTAAATTTCTACACTTCAACATGAATGTCTATAACTTTTGATCAGTTGTATTCATATATATATATATATATATATATATATATGTGTGTGTGTGTGTGTGTGTGTGTGTGTGTGTGTATATTCTAGTATCACATAATTTTACTTTCCATATTACAATAGATATGAGAATACAATGTTTTGTTTTTAGTCAATGAAACTATTTTCAGACAGGAAACTGATAAATGAATTCCTTTTCATTACCTTTTCCTTGCAACTTTTCAAATGTCCCATAATAGACATCTTGAAAATAGGAAGATCATATAAGTAAATGCTCCCGATTGCTTAATATGACCTTCTTGTGTAACATGTGTTCAATTCACTCCTGCTGAATAAGCTGTTACACATGTGCAGAAGCCTTGGACTATTTACACACCCTGGGTCTTTTGAGCATTTTTTAAAATTTTAATTTTATTCTTATTTTTATTTTTTGGTATCAGAGATTGAACCCAGGAGTGCTTAACCACTTAGCTACAACCCCAACACCCTACCCCCACCCTTTATTCTGAGACAGTCTCACTAAGTTGCTGAGACTGGCTTTGAACTTGTGATCTTCCTGCCTCACCCTCCTGAGTTGCTAGGATTACAGGTATGTGCCACCACACCTGGCCCTTTCATCATTTTCTAGGTACTCACAACTGGGCCAGATTCCTGGGGCCACAAAGTAATAAGATGTGGTTCCTGGCCTTGAACCAACAATATAGTTGTGGAAATTAAACCAACAGATCTTATTCACATAGAAAACAGGATTCCATGGGGGCCACGTGCTGCAATCCTGGCTCCTGCATGCACAGCAGCTGAGAGACACAAGAATATGTAGAAATAAGGAGGGACTAGCACTGGCAGGATTTAGGCTTTAGGGTGAGGTATGCTTAAGGTTTGGGCAGTTGAGAAGCAGAAGAAATGGAACAATTCTTGTGTCTCTAATAAAATTCAAATATGAAAGAAAGCCCATACACATCCAAATTTGCAGCTGGGAAATGTACCTGAATATTTTAAGCAAAACTATACCTTTCTCTCAACTTGAATTGGTACCTAAAGATGACTTCAGACGAAAATACTGCAGTAGTGCAGAAAGTATATAAGAACACATCAACTAGTGTACAGGAGGGCTTATTTTCAGTGTTCCTCCATTTTGGCTGACTTCAGTCATAAATGATGCATTCTTAATTTATTTAGCTGCTTACTACTCCCTTATCTGAGTGTCTCTTTGTGCAATATCCACATTTGGATTCATATGTGCTTATGTTTTCCAGATTGGGAAAGTAATGTCTATCTTCAAATTTGATAATTAATGACTGCTTTTATTTTTTAACGTACTCATATCACTTGGGAAAGAATCTGTCAATGGACAAGAAGTACAATGTGTTTCTAATTATCCTGTAGGATACTATAAATTCATTGATGACATTAAAAAGGCAGTAATACCAAACTCAAGAACCAGTTAAAAAAAAAAAAAGACACCTGTCTCAAATCAGACAGATGTAGGAAATGTAGTGTGTCATTTTCAGAAGACTGTTCCTTTCTTAACCTTCGTGTCACCCTCATCTAATTCCAGGAAGGGTTTCAGAGCCACAAGAGCCACCTCAGACACATACATTATAGTCTAATTGCCCCTCCCCACCCAAACATTCTTACCTGCTGACCAGTAGCATCAGGAGAAGAAATATGTCTCTATCCTTGAAAATATGATATGCTGTAAGAAGTGATCTTTCAAATTGTACACAATACACTACATTAACAGGAAGTGACTCTTAGGATTTAATTGAACTCCTAAGATTTAGGAAACAATTATTGAAGCAACTAATCAAAAATGCTAATCGTTATTTGTTTACATAGAGTGATATAATAAGGCCTGTGAGCAGTGAAATGTCTAACTCAGTAAAATATTTTTCTATATTCTTTTATTAAGGTGATACTTAAAATCTGTATGTTCCTTTTAGGAATATCCAACAATTGGACAACTCATTGATAAACTGGTGCAAAACAACATGCTATTGATCTTTGCTGTAACCCAAGAACAAGTTCATTTATATGAGGTAAGCAAACAAATCTAAGAAATTCTTTCAGGGAGATGATGTCATGAAACTATCTCGTGAGTTCAACACACAGGAAGGCCATTAGATAATCCTAATACATACCAGATGCACTGGGCACTTGACAAAGTAGATTCATTTATACCTTGTAGTTTAAATGAGAAAACAGAGGTGTGATGGAGAGTGAGGGCAGACATAGTAGAACATGGAAGTTATGGAAATAAAAAAAGGTAAGCTGGAATAAAGTACTAGTAAACACAGGACCACCTGCCTAGAGGGAAATTAGTCTATCTCCTCTTCAACTATTGCATCGGATGAGAAAAGAGTTAACAGAGAAAATAATGAAAGTGGGAGGAGAATTGGCTTTAAATTCTTTGACATTTCTCCATTAAATTTCCAATTTATAGTTTAAGGCTTTAGATGGAAGCACCATTTACAAACAGGGAATTGTATCATTAGATGAAATGATGTTTGTAAACCACCATGTAAACAGTAAAACAGGGGCTGGGATTGTAGCTCACAGTAGAACACTTGCCTAATGTGTGAGGCAAGCATGGGTTCGATTCTCAGCACTGCACATAAAGGTCCATTGAAAACAACAACAGAAAAGATTAGCAAAACATATATGCAAATGTAAAAGACTTCTATGGTTTCTTTCCAGCCTAAGAAAAAATATATGTCAAACGATGTTAATTGAGGTACTAAGAAATGATCTACTCATAATCTGCAGTTTCACAGAGAAGAAGGAGACTTTAGAATGGGCCAAAGAAAATGTGGGGAAATCAAATTATCTGTGTCATCTATGCAGAAGTGTCAGATACTCCTAAATCTAGAGTCTGACCTCTTATTCCTTTTGAAAGGACCTCTTAATTTGTTTGGTGAGTTCACAGGGCAGGGGGAACTCAGATTATTTAGCAGAAGCCTTTGATTAAATGTACTCACTACCAAGCACAGTTCAGCCATGAACTTGCATCAGGTTCTGTAGAAAGGATCCAGGAGGAGATGCTATCTTGCATTTTTAATGAGAGGAGGGTATTGTACTCCCAGGTGAGATTGCCTTCTGCTGCAAACCAAGGAAGTCCCTTGCAATCCAGCTGCTCAGAGACCATGTGAGTTCACCTGATCTGGGCATTTTCTTAAGGCTCTATATTATGTGATACCTGTTTCCACTGGTTTTAAATAGTAGTTGCAGTAAAGATTTTTTTTTAATAGCCCCAAATACAATAGTGAGTCTATTCTGCCTTAGATCCTTAAGGCTAAAGTGAGAGGACCCTGGGGGTTACAACACGTCCTCCCCAGCAAGGCTCCAGCTCAGAAGGGGGAGTAGGAGCCGCGTACAACTTGTCTTCGAAGGGGAGTCTGGGGAACACGATTGATGATCATGAACACAGACTCCCATAATTCACTTTGGTAATAGTCTTTAAGACTCACAACTCATTTAGACGCCTCCCCCGAACTGCTATTAAAAAGACAGAGGAAGATGAAAAATAACTATGTGGCAAAACAGAATCTGTTGGATTTAAGCTAGTTGTATCCACGGTTCCCCTGTTGCAAAAGAAACGATCATTTCCAAGGAAAACACCAGATTAAAGCTTGCCTGTAATGTAACAGCAGGACATTTATTTTGCCTGCTTACTAATCTCATTATGAGGCGAATTTATGTTCTGTCATGTTCTGTGGACTTTGCCATCCAGGCTCCACTAAATTCAAAGGGACACTTTCAGGAAGCCAGGCAGCAGACCCGGTCGGCAACTCATTCTATGACTCTGGTTGTTTCATTATTTTATTTTTATTCTGATGGGCTCATCATTTCATCTGCATTATCGGGGCCAGGCGGCAGCCTGGTCTAAAGATAATGACAGCAACATTGCACTTCCCTGAAGGCTGCACACAGCATGAAAATGCTGATCTCTTGTTTTATTGATAATGAAAACTGAAAATAGACCAATAATGGCCGTGCTGCCTTTCAATTTAAATCTCTTAGAAGGAGCCCTAGGTGTGCAAGAGTCCGGTGCAGACTGGTGTTTGGATAGAAGGAAAATAACCACCAAAGAATGAAAAATAAAGCCAGTGATAGGATAAATAAAGCAACTAAGTGTTGAGATCTAATGAAGATTCCAGAAGGCCAGTTGTTCACCCGAGTTCTGTGCTAAGCGTAGCTCGGTGCCTTCGCAGCGGGCAGGGGATGATCAGGTTCAATGGAGGCTCTGTCTTGCAGCACATAAGATTTATGTTGCCCACTCATGGAATGCAGGAAAAATGACCGTTTTTTTTTTTTTTTTCAATAATTTTGGTAAGATGCTTTGGACTGCCCAGGTGCACAGTGTTGCTCTATTTTGTTGTAACAGAGGAACAAACAATGGAAAGGGTACAGTAAGCAGTTTCATCTTCAGCAATATGACTGCAGTGTGCACCCCAGACTCCTGCAAACTGATGGTTTTGAGCAAACTTATTATTATGAATAGTTTCCTGTTTGTCCAATTACAGGGTTCAAAAGATAATGATAGATAATTGAGTGAGCAGTAGGTAGTATATTACATTCTAGTGCTAAATACCATTTTTGAATCAGGATTCAATTACTCAAGTTAAAAAAAATGTTTATATCTTCTCCGTTGTTTTTAAATGTTTACTGTTAATTTACATTAAGATAGTATCAGGCCACTAAACCCCAGCTGTCTAATTTGACTAGTCTTTCCTTCCTAGTGAGATAGTGAGATAAAAAGCAATTAAATCACTGTTCTTCACTACATCATCAAATCATGTTATGAATTACCTCGGGTTATTTGCAAGACTTTACAATATCCTATATCTTTTCAAAATGTCTGCATCTGGCTGGAAAAGATGATTTTTATGAAGTTAATAGCAATAATTATTATATGACCTGGTGTTGATGACGTGATGTGGAAACCCAGCACTCAGAAAATAAACAAGAAGTTCATTGGGAGAGTTACTTCCAATTTACTTCAACTTCTAATTGGGCTGTAGAGGGTCTTGTTTCTGTAGTTATTAGGACAGAGTGATGTATCTAAAATATGGGAAAACAAGGGTACAAACAGATTTTTACACCATCAAAGTGCTCTTTTTTCCTAAGACAAAAAGCCCTCAATTATCACCTTAATTATGAGAGTTTGGTGGGTCTTGCTCATCCTCCTGTTTAAGGCAATTCTTGATACACAGGGTATTTGTTGAATGAATAAAAAGTTCAATAAAAGCACCTGACCTTTTCTAAAATTGGGTCAAATATTCTAACGAGGGATTTGAGGGTTTGTATGATAAATACTTATCAAGGTTGAGGAAGCCCAGGCACACAGGGCAGGTGGAGGGCACCTAACCATTACTAGGACCCTCTGCAGACCAGGCTGTTTCTTCTTCCACCTTCCACCCTGGACCCAGATGGCACAAGAGAGGAAAGCAACACTTTGCCATCTGTCTTAGGACAACCGGCTGGAGAAGCTCCACAGCCTTGCTACGGGGCCATGAGAGGAAAACCCCTGAGCAATTACCCACCATCATCAGACTATTAGATCTAAAAACAAGCTGGAAGAGCAGCCACAATATGCCACAAGCCAATGTTCTTTTGTGGCTCATGAAAATTATACACTGTACTCAAGTTTCAATTTTTCAGGAATCAATAACCTCGTTATTGTTTCACCCTGCTTCCTTCTTCTGCCTCTTTTGAACTTTACACTGTAGCAACAGAAAGAAAAAAAAAAGGATGATTTTAGTGAAAATAAAATCATCTGGGATTGAACCCAGGAGTGATTTACCACTGAGCTATATCCACAACCCTTTTTATGTTTGATTTTGAGACAGTCTTGCGATTGCTGAGGGTGGTCTCAAACTTTCGATCTTCCTGTCTCGGCCCCCCCAATTCACTGGGATTATAGGTGTGTGCTACCGTGCCTGGCAAGAAATTGCTTTTTATTCAAATGCAATGGGAAAGATTTTGATTTCTCCTGAATTGATGGTATCTGGAAGGAAAGACTGAGAAGTGCCAGCTGCCTATACTTTCCTCATTAGTGAAAACATCCCTCAGAAAGGGAGGATTTGGAAATGAAACTCCTATCCTCAGATTATCATTCAGAGCTGTTGGGAGTGTTTTCCAGACTAATTAGCAAATCCCACCCATGAAAAACCATCAGTACTCACCACTTCAATCACACGTGGTACTTTTCTCCTAAAGAACCCAAATCCTCATAATCCAGAAAATATGCACTCAGTAAGAAGAAGGGACAGATTTAAAGGAAGGCCTTCATGAGATACCCTCTTAGGCCAACCCATGTAGAAATACGAGATTTTATCAATACACGATCTGAGTGTTTCAGGATTCACACAATGCCTGCAATATCCAGTGTATCATTGCAGCAAAATGCTACCAACTGCATAGTCATTCATTCATTCATTCATCCAACGTCTCATGAGTACCTCCCATGAATCAGGCTGGCACTGGTGATTATAGTGGACAATAAGACACAGTCTCTGCCTCAAGGATCCTCATAGAGCATTTACAGATTTGGAAACCAATAATTTGCCTGAAAAAAAAAAAGAATATGGGCATTTTAGAGACAGTGTTCTGCTACAAAACCCCATGGTAGAGATTTTCCGGGGACCCAGAGTATTCATGTATGTCAGTGTTGTTACTCCTTTTGATTCTGGAGCAGCAGATTAATTGGCAACCATAAAACTGCTTTTGAGGCTAATAGTATCATCATGTTGAACTAAGTCCTTCACTTCACACGGGTGAAGACGGAGGGCCAGAGATGATATGCAACAATGACTGTGATAATAATAGCATAGTAGGGGATGTTTGCAGAGAGTTTATTAGGTGGGGATTGAGAGTGTGATACTCATTTTATCATTTAATCTCTATCTTATGGCTATAGGAACCTAAAATAGCAAAGAAAGTTGCTTGTGAGAACCAAGATTTGGATCCAGACAATTTGACTCTATAGCTGAGATAAACTGTAGCTGGACCCTGGCTGTTGTAGGGAAAGCATATGCCA